GACCCTGCTTTGGCAGGGGAGTTGGACTAGATGACCCACAGAGGTCCTTTCCAACCCCGAACATTCTGTGATTCTGTGATTCTAACGTGGGACAGGAGGCAACCGCAGAGACAGTAATCCTCCAGTGCAGCACCGATGCCCTAAAGGCACTCCGTCTGCTTTTATCTCCACCCTCCGAAGCACTTGGCCAGCATTTCTGTAGGCAGTTGTGCAATGCCAGCCTTTGTTTTAGCAGAGAAGGATACGACCCAAGCTTTGCAAGCCTACCTGCTCGGGGAGAGCCTGGGTTACCGGCGCGGGGCGTGAGACAGCCGCACAGGCAGCAATCCTTTGCAAGTACATGGCTGTATTTAACGCCTCTCGCAACAACAGCAGATAGCTCTGTTTGCTTTTCTTTTGTCAGAACAGATTCTTCACTCCCAAGCTGGAGCAGGAGAGTATTTTCTCACTTGACGAATGCCCCTCTAGCAAAACGACTTATAAATAGACACAGAGCGAGCGCTGCTGAAGTGTAGAGGGCTTGAGCCTGTCTGCCACGTTCGGTTTCGTAACCACGAACATACTGCTCTCCAAGACATGGCCCTCCTCTTTCCCATTCTTCTGACTCAAAAATAGGCCTGTGTCAGATCCTTTCGTAACCACCATATGGTGCCTAGAAAACCTTTCGTATATTTGCAGTTCCCCAGGGCCCGCTCTAGATTTAAGAAATAGATTTCTGAGGATGACAATCATTCACGCCAGCTCAAACAATTTTTAGAGGTGAGGTTTTTTTGAATCTTTTCTAGTGCTCAATACATTTGTCCAGAAAATAGGCAGTGTCTCAAGACAAGTGGCTCCTCAGCAAAACTGTGTATTGCCTTTTTGATACATCAGATTTTACACCATTTGATTTAAAATGCTTGCTCTGGCAATAAAAGTACCTGGAAGCGCATGATTTCTCTGCAGTTCTCTAAGCACATCCATTACATCCCCTCTTACTCATATTCTCCCTGCCGACCATTTATCTGGCTTCTCTTGTACCTGCTTTTCTCAGTAGCTTTTATTTCAAAAATCCTTTTGCAAACAGAATTGACTGTTGTGCTTCAGGTGAGACTGCGATGTGGATTTCAAATATCACGTGATTACAGCTGCAGTAGGATTTGTCCAGATCATTATCCCTCTTCTTGGGTTTTAAGAGACGCCACTGCCACATTCTGATCAGCTTCCCTTAATTTCATCCTGGCAAGGTTTATAGGTCCTCCAAGTTTCTTTTGCATTGAGGGTTCTTTTTATCAACAGTGATTTGTACCCACAATTGTGGGTAGGTTGGTTAGGTTCATCTGAAATCTTCAGGTTTTAGCTTTTAAACTATATTTCTTCTTGAAAACTGTAGGATCTGAGACATTCGCATTTATTTCCTTGTCTGCTTTGTCTTAATGGCTTCTATAATTCCTTCTGTTCCAGAGAGGAGGATAATTAGTAACCAGTCGTAAAAGATTTTATAGTTTTGGAGTGTACTATTGTTGCTAGAATGAATATTCCTATTCTTCAGAAGGCATTTTGAGGCAGCTTTTAGGTAGGTGAATTGATCTGAAGAATTTAACAACCAAACTTCCATACAGGAAAGGCCAAAGATATACCCCAACGTTCAAGAAGTTAATTCATTCCTTCCCATTCTTTCTGCAAGTTCCTTGGTCAAGTTGGTTTGGTCCCCCCAATGGAAGCAGAAATACTTCAGAATAATCACGTCGGTCGCCTTCCTTCAGCCACTGAGATGGCAAGGGCGCGCTCCAGATCGTGCGGGCAGTTTGTCTGGGGGAGATTTCTGCCCAGCTTGGCACCCTAGGAGTTCGACCAGAGTTCTTCCAAGTATCTGATTTGTAGCTGTCATTAATAATTAATAACGTAACTAAAAATAAATGAAGTTGCGGTTTTGTTACAAAAATTGGTTGGAGCAAATACAGCAGCCTAAAATTAATCTACAGTAGATGTAATACAACCCCCAAAAGCCAACGGAGTGATGTGAGGAAAATTAATTGAGCACTCTAAGAAGCATGGACTTACTGGAATAAGTAACTGGAAGTAGAAACATCTTTAGGAACACAGGAGACTCTGTGAGTCTTATTACACACTTTTCAGATGTTAGCTATGAGCAAGGTTTAGCAGATCATCTCTTCTAGCTTAGTTAATTACTGTGACTTTAAAATACATAGTCACTTTTAGACGCAGGATTGACCAGTTCCTGCATGAGGCAGCCATCTGGCAAAGTAACATGTAGAAACAGGTTGCAGAACCTCCTGGGACCGGGTTTGTAAAGAATTCCCCAACATAAAGGGCCCTCGTGAGTAAATCTGGTGCAAGAGACACCATCCCTCCACGTATCACGCAGGTCGGGCTACTCCCCAGGGCAGCGATGTGGACGGATCTCCCCAGCAGATGGGCAGACGTCACCTTACCCCTGCCCCGGGACAAACCCTCCCCGGCCGGGCGCAGGATTCCCTTCTGCCCAGGTCCGACCATCCAGGCTACCAGCTGACACTCTGCGAAGGTGCCTTCTCGTTTGCTTAGAGGTTTTTTTCTTTACATTTTCCGCTTGGGTGGTTCAAGCTTCATCTCTGGTGGAAGCACATTGCACAGAGCAAGCTTCCAGCAGACTAGCAGAGGCATTCTCCTTGCTGAAGCACGTAATATTTTGAGAGACTCAAGACCTTAACAGCTATAATAAAAACGAGCATGATGACGAACGCTGTCATATCTTGCACTTGTGAAATAATTTGCAAAGTTTCTTATCATGAAACATCAGAAAGGAAATGTTATACAGATTATTATAAGCAAGAAATTCTTCCCCATGAGGGTGGTGAGGCCCTGGCCCTGGCTGCCCAGAGAAGCTGTGGCTGTCCCCTCCCTGGCAGGGCTCAAGGCCAGGCTGGACGGGGCTCTGAGCACCCTGGGCTGGTGGAAGGGGTCCCTGCCCGTGGCAGGGGGGTGGAACTGTGTGAGCTGTAAGGTCCCTGCCGACCCAAACCAGTCTGTGATTCTATGATTGTATGATTTCTGTCCCTCATGCGATGGGTGTACTCTTCACCGCTGTATACGTCCTACACCGCTGCGCAGGAATTGGCCTGTCTGAAGCACGCGCTGACCCTAGACCACTCGCTGCTCGGCTGTTCCTCACTGTCACGGAAAGTCACCATGAACCAGCAGCTACAGGAAGGTGCGGCAGGGTCTTCCAACCTTGCTGGCAGGTGTTGTCATTTTGTAGGGTAGCGTGGGCTGGTTCCAGCTGCTTGTTCTGGAGGTGAAGTTAATGAACAGAACAGCAGGAAAGAACAGCTTCAGATACAGAAAAAGAAGGAAAACCAGCAGGGAAGCACTCACAGGGAGGAATAAAATGTTTGGTCGAGCTGTTTACCGGGGCGATATTTCTGCTGTCGGAGAGGACGTACCTTACCAAAGAGGCAGTCGGAGTGTGACTGCGGGGAGCTGTTGTTTTGTGCTAGAGTTCGATGAGGATTCACACCATCCAAAAACACTTTATGATGCCAATGACATAAATAAAGTACATAGCGCACCACTTCCAACACCCTTCTGCTTTCAGCAGCTCTCCAGTTTGTTGCATGTTTTCATTATGGCTTGCATTGGTGTGCAGCTCTGTTCATAACTCATATTCACTTTCTTCCTGCCTTCTTTCTGCAGTAAAAAAGATTCTGCCTTCCTTGCACGTGGCAACCCAATGGCGAGAGTTAACGGGGCGGATTAGCAGAGAACAATCCCTGCCATAGATCCCAGCCAAGCTGCGAGGCAAACCTTGTTTGAGGAGGTTTCTGTTTGCTGTGCTTCCTCCACCTCCGTACTCCCTTCAACATTTTCTGAATGCGAGTTATAAAATAACTGCAGAACATAGGTGCGAGTTAGCTGAGGTTGCTGTATGTGTGAAGAGGCACCAGTGGAGAAGCTGGTCCTTTGCCTTTGGTGGGAGCTGCACTGCTTACACAGAATCTGAGACAGATCTGACAAACCTTATAAAAGAACATGATAGAAAAAGAATATCCAAATACAAACATGTAAAAAAATGCAAGTTTAATGGCAGTGACCACCCAGTTCCGTTACTCTTGGGCTGAAAACTGGAAGATGTCTTTTGTTACAGTCATAACCAGTAATGTCAAGGCAAGTATTGTGGCACTAACCAGTTAACTCTTGATAAAGTTAATTTTAAGAATATTCTCTTCTTTATTATTAAAAGAAGACCGTATCAGTATGCACAAGATAGTAGAGCAAAGCTGTCTGGATTAAAAACTAAGCAAGGATTTTCTTTTTGTTACATTTAGACTAAATAGAGAGAAAGTGAGTTTCTGCCTATTTTAATTACATTATTTTACACTGAATACATTTTTAACATCGATGGGATACCCTATTATGGATATGAAGAGCTGTCAGCAGTTTTCACTGAATGCTGTGACATTTCCAGAATACTCCAAATGATTCAAATAATTAAAGAATGTAATCATTTCTGGATGAAGTGATTGTACAGTTACTAACTGAAAATTGCTTAAAAGCCTTTTGGGGGGTTAAATTGCCTCGGAAGGGAAGAAAAGAGAAGTGATTTTGCTACATCCCCACCCTGACCCACCAAGGACTGATCTGCTCAGTCTGCTTGGAGCCACCTCGCTCAGCTGGGCAGAGCGGCAGGGACCCTCCCTCCTGGCTGGCCTCCTCCCACCTGTCACAGAGCAAGGGTTTGCGCTACAAGATGAGCAGAAACTGCTAAAAAGCCATTTTACCTGTCTCTCAGTTACTGCCCCATGAACCTGGCAATGCCTGGTTTTGATATAGCTGTCCTCGTTTGAACTGCAATGAATAGGGCACAAAGGAAAAGGGAAAGAAAAAGTTTTGCATCATAAATCCTCGTGCGTCGTGACTGAATAGGGTTCATTCAAGTTAGTCAGAAGGTATTGAAACGAGCCACTGTGGTAACATCACAACATCAAGCACTTCAGATATTGCATTTCCCAAGCAAAAAAAGGCCCCGTCCAACCTGTCATGGTTGGACACAGCAGCCGGGAACTCAGCAGTGCACAGCCGCTCGCTCACCCCTCCCCTTCTCCCCGCAGTGGCACGGGGAGCAGGATGGACAAAAGGCAAAACTCTTGAGATGAAGACAGTTTAATAAGACAATGAAGAGAATACTAACACTACTAATCATGAATATGCAAAACAAATGATACACAGCACAATTTTCTCACCGCCCAGTGACTGAGTCACAGCCGGTCCCTGAGCAGCAATCACAGAACCTGGAACATACAGATTTTCCAAATTTCACGGAACTCCCCCAAAAAAGACCAAGCTCACGGAAAAGGTCGAACTCCCAGGAAAAAAAATAAATGCCATTGAAGCTCCTGGAAAAGAGGGGAAAAAAAAGGCTTCCTGCCGCACGGCCAACCCCCATTCGTAAGCTGAGCATGATGTCTACGGTATGGAATATGTCCATCGGCCAGCCTGGCTCTGCCTGGCCGTGCTCCCTGCCTGCTCCTGCACGCCTGCCCATTAACTGAATATGGGAGACTGGAAAAGTCCTTGATTTCTTAGCAATGACTAAAACCATCGGTGTTATCAACATTTTTCTCATACTAAATCCAAAACACCGCAGCGACTGGGAGGAAAATTAACTCTGTCCCAGACAAAACCAGGACACAACTTTAGGTGGATATGCCATTTTAAGAATCGAAAAGACCTTAAATTGAGTTAGAGCAAATTTTAATGCAAGTTTCTCCTCAATTTTTTTAAAGCCAAATATATTCCATCTTTAGTGCAAACTCAAAAGAGTACAACGGCATGTGACAGATTTGAAGAATTGCACTGCTGTCCCTAGAAGTCTGAATTCAGATTAATTTTCCTGACCTGGATCAATTCTTTCAAAGCGTTTAATGGCGGATTAAAAAGAAACAGATTTTGGAGCACCCACCTGGAACCTGGCTGGATACCTTTCTCTTCTCTTTGTCTATTCTGCACGCTAAGGCCTCTTGACTGATCTGTTCAACCACTCGCCAGACCTAAGCTTTGAAAGAGGGGTCTGGGAGCCTGCAGGGCTCTCGGACATGTTCTCGTGCCTCCTGAGAACAGCACGTGCTCTTCTCCCCTCCGTACATGCTCCCGTAGGTGATGCACACTCCTCCTCGGCTCTGCAGCTTTCCCCCGGGGTCTGAGCCAGCCCCCGGTTCTGTATTTTCTCCCAGACAAAAATGGAAAAAGTGACTTTAGGGGACAAAACTTTAAATCAAGTTGGAGACGTTGCTTAGCTACACACGAGCATTTACATTTGCATTGCCTGTCAAGCAAGGAAAAAAGATAACTATATTGGAGCAGCAGGGATAAAAAAGGACTTTAAGAGAGGTCATCTGGTCCAGCCCGATGCTCTGAGGCAGGCTTGTCAAAGCACATAATACTCCTGCCAAGTTACATGTTGTTCCAGCCTGCTCTTAAAAGACCTCCAGTGGTGGATAATCCACATTTCACAATGCAGGCCAACGGCCAGGGCCTCAGCGGACGACGCTTCCCTCACACCAACAATGCTCCTTTCTATGAAGCTTTGGCAAACGCAGAAAGGAATTTCTTCTATCGTGTAGATCGGGCCGATCTCCTTGCTTGGGTAGTTTCTGTCAGCTGAGCTTTGAAGATACCAAATAATGTCAGTCCTAGGAGAGTATTATCATCAAGGACAACACTGTAATGGGTTTTTAAATTGTTTCCCTTAGTCATAGGCTTAAAATAAAAATTAGAAAGAGGCGGAAGAAATAGTACAAGCATTAGACAAGTGTAATAGGAATGCTTAGACACTGTAAGAACCAAGGGAGAACATAATTACAGACCGTGTTTCACTGAAAGCCTGAGTCACTAGAGAAGACTAAAAAAACGCTTTAAAAATATATGTTCAGCTGTTCAGCTGATAATAATAATAATTTTAAAAAGCACCCCAAACACTTCAGGGCTCCTCTCCTCAAATGCCTCTGGTTCCTAAATCCAGAAATGAAAATAAAGGACCACATCCTGCGGGAGCGTGGCGGAGCGTGCCGGCGTAGCCCAGCTGCACTGCCGCAGGTGCGGAGCACGCAGACTGCAGACAAAGCATACCTGCCAGCCCAAGGGGGTGGGAACGGTGAGTGCGTGGGACAGGCGCCTTCTGTGGAAGTGGTGCGTGAAATCCGTTGAGCTGGGCCGCCTGTGAGCAGCCTGGTATCCCGGCAACGTTGGCTGTGTGGTTAAATCTCCGCCAGCAGTCACTGGAGGGGCTTCCAACAACAGCAGAGTTGCAAAGGCCGTCTTTCAGCACAGTACACTTGTCTGCACCTCTGCGAGATCGCCGTGAGCTCAGCATGTCACAGCGCATCCTATGTTCAGCTGCAGCAGTGGTTTTAGCCCGAGATACCAGCGATGTCTTGCAAAGATTACAAGCAATAGCGTTATTATTTCAGGCGTGCAAGCGATAGCACAAGTATCCAACAGCAGCACAGTCAGATCTTTTTTTGTCCAGCTTCCAATAAGGGGAAAGAAGGGCAAAAAATGGCATCGTGTGTTGGGAAGGTGGAAGTCAAGGTCACAAGCCTCGTGGCTGAAGTAACCAGCTGTCTGAAAGCCCTGCCCGTACCAACACTTCTGCAGAACCGACCTGCATCCTCTCCGCTATCGGGTGAAACCCTGGCGCTGCGCTCCTGCCCTGCGCAGCACGTTGCTGCACCGCAGCTCGTAAAGCCCCAGGCAGCAGAAAACGCCACGAGCCTAAAAACACTCCACGTGACAGGGAGCAAGACATTGTTCTCGTGAAAGACGCTGCTCGTAACAAGAAGTACGGTGGTCTGCCTTACGTCCGCCTGGTGCAGCAGCGGCTTCGGGCACTGCACGCTGCGAGGCGGTTGAAGCTTCAGGGTGCTGACGCGCACCCAGTGCACTCCAGCCCTGTGCAGGGTTGGTTCCCAAGAAGGCAATACCACTAATGTTGTCCCGTTGCGTTGGAAAGCAGAAACTGCTCCCTCCTCATTTGCTCTTGATTCTTTGGACACTTTGGCCGTGATTTCTTCTCTCCTTTTCGTTACAAATTGCAGAAAAGATGAACACACTTTATATTCTCTGTGTCATTCTGGCCCTCAAGGTTGGCCTACCCCACACAACCACTGCATGTCAGCTCAGCTGCTGCCAGATTGCTCACATCTCTGCTGGGGGTTATTTTGGCATGTAATGCTGTCTGATGCAATCTGTTGTGAGCTTACATCATGGCCTTAAAGTTATCCTACAAGCCGTGCAGTGAGGCTCCATCATACCAGAGAAGTTTCTTGGGATTATGTCTTTTTCCTATCAGCTGTGCTGCAAAGTTACTCTTTCACGGGTATCAGTCACATACCTGCTCAGAAAAGGGATGCTATAATATTGTAATACCAGATTAGGACAATGCTCTTTCCATATTGCAGGAACAGAAGGGGAAGTCACATCACGTGCTGTTGTTTCATGGGCTGTAGTGGAGCTCCGAGAGTCTTCTCCAGCAGAGAACCTGCTGTGTGACCCTGTAGAACCAGAGACTCCGGTAGGATGAAGCGCACATCTGGAGGTCTCTACTCTAGTCCAGCCTCCTGCTCAAAGCAAAGTCAACACTGAGTTCAATGAGGTTGCTCTGGGCATTACCCAGACATCTCCAAGTACAGAGATTATACAACCCGCTGGGTCCTTATTCCAGTGTTAATTACCCTCACAATGAAAAATATTTTCCCT